ATGATTGGATAAATGCGTAATTCTTTCCCCAAATTGCCAATTATTAAGGTAAGGCTACAACCAATGGTGAAAACAATCCATTTGGGCGGGGGATATTTGTTTGTTTCATTTTTTTTATTATTGTTTGTAACCTGATCAGAACACTGCTTAGAAGAAGTCATCATGACTAGGAAATTTTTAATTTAAAAACCTATAAGAGAATGCATTTCAAGTTAATATTCCATTTTTGGCACCTCTTGAGAAATATTCTTTGAGTTCTTGTGAATGGAATAGTCATTAAAACCTAAGAATTTTTAAACCCATTAGATACATACTGTGCTGTGGCTAGGCAGAGCACAGTTTAACCTAAAGCATCATCGATAACTATAGGCCTCAACGCACTGTGGTATGAAGCTTGGATTGAGATGAATTAGTAACTCCAGACAAGAACAAAGTAAATATGCCTATTAGTTTGGGGTTTTGTTTGTGTTTTTGTTTTACTTTTCATTAGAGACAATCTCAAACTTACAAAAAAGTTGCAAGCACAGTACAAAAAAGATTTTTACTGAACTATTGGAGAGTAAGCTGCTCTGTTATCCCCAAATATTTTACGGAGTATTTCCTGAAAAGGAGAACCTTCTCTTCTTTTACATAACAATAATAAAACCATCAAAAATCAGGAAATTAACTTTGCTACCATCTATTTCTCACACACCATTCAAGTTTTCTCAATTTTCCCAATGGTGCTCTTTATTAGAAAACAAGACAGCATAGAATCAGGCATCAGATTTATTATCATGTCTCTTTATCTTCCTCTAGTCTGGAATAGATCCTGAAGCGTTTTGCTTTTTATGATCTCGATACTTTTAAAATTTATAGGCTGGTTATTTTCTAGAAGCTCTCTCAGTTTGGGTTGGTTTGATATTCTCTCTCTCTCTCTCCAAAGATTTATTTATTTGAGAGAGAGAGAAAGTGGGGGAGGAGGGCAGAGGGAGAGGGAGAGAGATCCTTAAGCAGACTCCCCGGTGAGCAAAGAACCATCTTGAGGCTCAATCTCAGGACCCCGAGATCATGACCAGAGCCCAAATCAAGAGTCGGGAACTCAACCCACTGAGCCACGCAGGCACCCCATCATGCTCTCCCTTGATTGGATTCAGGATATGTATCTTTGGCAGGAATATCATGGAAGTAATGCTGAGTTTTCTGCATCATAACAAATGGCACATAAATTTGATTTATCCCATTGCTAGTGGTATTAACTTTGATCACTTGATTAAGTTGGTGTCTGCCATAGTTCACCATGGCAATAGGGACAATCTTCTTTCATTTGTAATCAACACGTATTTCATGACTAAGTATTCATCAAACCTTCAATGCATTCATTTATTCTGTTATATTAATAAGGATTCATAGATTATTTCTCAATGGTAGCTAATTACATATTTTGATGCTCAAATTGTCCTATATTTTATCCGTAGAAGCCTCTTCAAGCAGGCTTCTGTGGTCTTTTGACCTGTCCCCATCACACTTAGCGCACTTCCTTATTTCTGACACAAGATGTTTTATGCTCATCTGTATCTTTTCTGCCCCATTCTTGGAATCAGCCCATTTCCCCAAGAACACTGATTCTTTTTAGAGGACAATTTTATTTAAAAACTAAAATCTGAGAACTAGATATGCTCTTCGCTGATCCCAGGCCCTGAGAACGAAAAGAACTAGAGAATATGTAGGTACACACACACCTCAGATTTATATCTGTTGATTTCTACTTCATCTATTTATACATATTGAAAACAATAAATTTATATCAAAATTTCCAATTTGAATCCAACATCACAGCCTTCTCCATTTCAATATTTGTAACTCCCTTGTGTGACAGTGAGAAACCTTACTCTGATTGTCCCCAAATATGTACTTCTTTCATTAATCCTTCCTTATGTCACTAATCCAGCTGTCCATGGATGCACAAGCCTTCCTCCCTCTGCTTAAATCACCATACCCTCTGCTGCACCACCATCCAGCCCCTACAGACACTTGCCTTACTTGATGATTGACATCGTATGCCATAAACCCTCTGCAGGGGCACCCTGCTCATACTACTCAGGCTCCAACCCCAACCCCCCAGCCCTGGGCCCTGTGTTCCCTTCCCCAGCTCAGATGCCTAGCTTCCTCAGCCCCACCTAATGGAAGAGAAAGGAAGGGAAGGCAAGATAAGGAAAATAGCTTCCTGTTTACTCTGAACGCAAAAGAATGTATTTCACTACACCCTATAAAAAAATCTTACTGTCCCTCACATTATTGGGCCACTCTAATTTACTCACTTAAACATTAAGGCTTGCTTCAAAGAAGCACTAATGCTAATAATTATGTACAAAGCTAGCAAATTAGGATCAATAATCTGTGTATCTGACAAATATTTGGCTACAGCCCATAATACTGTTTAAGCGCAGAGGAAAATGAATATTTGGTGGTTATGCAGTCAAATCTAAAGTACAAACAAAACGTTTGGATGATGTAAGTCCAAGGAAAATTGGGGCATCCTACATATTTGGTAGTGACGTTATGTGGAAGGAGTAACTTTCAGCTGTTACAGTTGCGAACTGTTAGGAATAAAATGCAATATAAACAACTGATCCTGCCGGACTCTAGCCGCTTACTCAGCCACACCTATATAGAAGATGGTTCATCGTTTTTCTGAAAGTTGTAATATGGCACCCACAGCTATTAGCAATTATTTTTTTGAAGTAGCACGTTTTATATGGCAGTATTATTTATAAATAGAAAACGCATCATTAGTTGATGCCAGTAGTACTCAGTCCAATCACCAAAAAATTGGAGAATTTTCTCCCAAAAAAGATGCTAGATGACTTTCCTTTTTCACGTTTTCTTTATTCTCATCAATAGTTTGCAGATTAAGTTTGGGTTTCTCTGTTTTTGCTTTGTTTCGGCATGTCTTACTTAACATACTGATTTCAGCAGAACCTAAACATTTATATAAGAATCCAGCTCTGATCGGTCTGGCTCTTAAGGTCTAAAGGCCAAGGACTGTGCCTACACACCAGCAAACAAACAAGGTTGAAGGACAAACAGAATTAGCACTCTATTCTACCCTTCTATACCTTTATAGAGATGGAGATAGATGTAGCTATCTCCACAAAGGTATACAAGTCATGGAAGGCTAGGATATAGTGTGTGGTATACAGTACAGAAAATGTAGGTAGAATGCAGTGTGTGTGTATACATATAAAATACAGTGTGTGTGTGTGCGTGTGTGTACACACTAATCCAGTCCAGTCCCAGAAATTCTTCTGTCCAAGGAGATCTAAATAGCAGGTTAGATCAAGTCCCTGTGAATACTAGCAAGAACAACTTTGAGTCATTTCTGTGCCCTGCAAAACCAGGTTCCAGGGAGCTCTCTCTTCTGGCTTTTCTTTTCACCATCCCTTCTAGAGGAAGAAACCCCCTTCCACCGCTAACCAGAAAGCAGCACTAGCACCCGCCGGTTGCGTCCCACTCCTGCGCCCCACGGACAGTGCAGGAAAGAGCCCCGAGGTGTAGCGACACAAGCCAGGGCGGTCCCCGGGCCAGGACGTTTCTGATTGGCTTTTTGTTGTGAATTCAAGAGGCCTGGGCTAAGGGGCGGGAGCAGGAAGCTCACCTGAGCGACTGCGCCCCAGCTTCGCCAAGACCTCCCGGGTTTTGGCTCTCTGGCTGGCTGTGGTGATCGTGGGGGCGGGAATAGGGGATGCTGGGGAAAGCACCCCGAACTAAGGGGGGGGGCGGGCATGGAGTGGGTTAGGCTGTGGTTTTCTGGGTGTTTGCCGGAGAAGCCACGCGCCCTATTAAACCCAGGGCTCCTGAAGCAGAAGGGTAGGTAACTCTGGGATTCTGTACCTTGAAAAGGTTCAGAATTGCAGGGAACGGAGGCGCCTTTCATTTTTCTTTGGGCACTCTCCCCTGGCTCCGCATTTCGTAAGGAGTCCTCCCGTGGGTGTTGAAACTGTAAAATATCCCCGTCCTACAACCACTCAGCAGAGAGTTTCCTGCAGATTACAGTCCTAGTTGGCCGGGGTGCTGGGAAAAGGGCACTGAGAGGACTGGGGGATCTGAAATTTAGTGCATTCTATCACTGCACCACAACTTGACTAGATTACATAAAGTCGATTTGGAGCGAGATATGAAAGTTAAGAAATGTATTCTGAGACAGTTACGGGTTTGTTGTTGTTGTTTTCATTCTAACATTGATTTTAAATAGTGGGTCTCACCTAGCAATTATTTAACTATGCAATTACATATCTATGAACATGTATTATGAAGATTTATATATACATATATGTATGCCATACAGGAGAGATTTTACACGTCTGGGCACAAATGGCGAGAGCTGCGATCCGGGCTTGGAGGCAGCGAAGGGCAGGCGGGCCTTTCCCCGCCGGGAGTGCGCTCCCAGAGCCCGGCGCGTCCAGCCCCGCTCAGGTTCCAGCCAAGAGTGCGCTCCGCATCCGCTCACGCACCCCCGCGGCTGGCGCGGTGACACAGCCCTGGAGTCGAATTACAACCCTCAATTAACATATGAATTTGACTAACTTAAGAGAGCGTAGGCGAAGTGGCGCGGGGGAGGGCGGCTGGACGCGGAGCCGGCGCTGGAGGCTTCAGGACGCAGGAACTTTTCTCCGGGTGTAAAAACTCTTTGATTGGCTGCTCGCACGCGCCGGCCGGCGCCCTCCATTGGCTGAGCAGACACGCGACCGGCGCGAGGAGGGGGCTGGGAGAGGAGCGGGGGGTGGGGGGAGGGGGAGACACACTGGCGCGTGCCGCTTTTTAAAGGGGCGCAGCGCCTTCAGCAACCGGAGAAGCTTCGTTGCACGCGACCTGGTGTGTGATCTCCGTGTGGGTGGGGGAGGGTCGAGGAGAAAAAAAAATAAGACATTGCAGTAGAGACCCAGGAAGGGTTTTTGTTGTAGTCGAGCTGGTTTGCCAGTACCTCATCTGACTCTGCGCCTCCGAGCCTCTGAAGTGCAATGTCCCGCCTGCTGCACGCAGAGGAGTGGGCTGAAGTGAAGGAGTTGGGAGACCACCATCGCCATCCCCAGCCTCACCCCCTGCCGCCGCCGCCGCCGCCGCCGCCGCCGCAGCCACCTGCGACCCTGCAGACGAGAGAGCATCCCGTCTACCCGGCCGAGCTGTCCCTCCTGGACAGCACCGACCCACGCGCCTGGCTGGCTCCTACTTTGCAGGGCATCTGCACGGCACGCGCCGCCCAGTACTTGCTGCATTCCCCCGAGCTGGGTGCCTCTGAGGCTGCGGCGCCCCGGGAGGAGGCGGCCGGCCGGGGGGAGCTGGTGAGGAGGAGCGGCGGCGGCGGTAGCAGCAGCAAGAGTCCCGGGCCAGTGAAAGTGCGGGAACAGCTGTGCAAGCTGAAAGGCGGGGTGGTAGTGGACGAGCTGGGCTGCAGCCGCCAGCGCGCCCCTTCCAGCAAACAGGTGAACGGGGTGCAGAAGCAAAGGCGCCTGGCGGCCAACGCCAGGGAGCGACGCAGGATGCACGGGCTGAACCACGCCTTCGACCAGCTGCGCAACGTTATCCCGTCCTTCAACAACGACAAGAAGCTGTCCAAATACGAGACCCTGCAGATGGCCCAGATCTACATCAACGCCTTGTCCGAGCTGCTACAAACGCCCAGCGGCGGGGAGCAACCGCCGCCGCCGCCGGCATCCTGCAAGAGCGACCATCACCACCTTCGCGCCGCCGCCCCCTACGAAGGCAGCGCGGGCACCGCGACCGCAGCGGGGGCCCAGCCAGCCTCGGGAGGGGGCCAGCGGCCCACGCCGCCTGGAAGTTGCCGGACTCGCTTTTCGGCCCCAGCCTCCGCGGGAGGGTACTCGGTGCAGCTGGACGCTCTGCACTTCTCGACTTTCGAGGACAGCGCCCTGACGGCGATGATGGCGCAAAAGAACCTGTCGCCTTCCCTGCCCGGGGGCATCCTGCAGCCGGTGCAGGAAGAAAGTAGCAAAACTTCGCCCCGGTCCCACAGAAGCGACGGGGAGTTTTCCCCCCATTCCCATTACAGTGACTCAGATGAGGCAAGTTAGGAAGGTGACAGAAACCTGAAAACTGAGACAGAAACTAAATCGCCCTTGCCCAATGCGCGGAAAGCCCCGCGATTAAAGATCCCCGCACCCTTTTAATTTTCGCTCTGCGATTGTCGTTGTTTAGCAACGACTTGGCTTCACATGGCAGCTATGTTTGATGGCTTGCAAAAGCCGCCGCTATTTCAAACTTCCTGTGGTCCATAGTGATGAAAACTTGCTGTTGAAGTTCTGTTCTTTCCTCCCACCTTCTCCCCCCGTAGCTAGATAAGGTATAATTCTATGTACCCAAATATGGCATCGTTACTCTAGTTCCCTGCTGCCAATACGCTGCTAAAACGTCGCATTTTCTTCTCTGTCGCTGGTTTGTGTTTTAATTTATTTTATGCCCTGGGCATTCATCCCTGTGTGTTGCGCGCACCCACGTGTGGGAGAATTGGTATTCCGAAGTATTTTCTCAAAATGTATCATGAAACGCAAAGTTAATGGCTCCAAAGTGAATAACTTTTGACTATGGAACGTTAGAAAACAGGGAACTCTTAGGTTAATATACTGTATAAACATACTCAGTATGTATGTCGGATCGCGATGATGTTGGCGTCTTTTAGGAAACTTGGCGCACGCACTTTATCAGCCGCTCCCGCTGCGGCTCCAGGACAAACTCAACTGCCAATTGCAGACCAGTTTTGTGTTGTTGTTGTTGTTGTTGTTGTTGTTTTAAACACGGCCACTTATAATCCTTAAGCTCTTTGCAAATGTTTGTTTAAAAAAATTAAAATTTAAAAAAAATCCAGTAGTGTCAAAAGCATTTGGTCCATTTTATTTTGCTTTGTTAATGTTAGGAAAGTTATTTATTATCGATTGTTTGCTACCATTTCTACTTACCTTGATTCATTTTTTTTTTTACGTTTTTCTACTCGAGATCATTTTATTTTAATTTAGCAAAGCCAACTGCCATTGTTTTATGTATTTTCTTTTGCAAATGATAAAAATAAACGTGAAAATAACTTTATTTGTCACTTATTCCATTCTAATATAAGCATTAAAAACAGTTTTGAAGTGACCTTGAAGACTTGAACTTATTCTTCTATTAAATGCAAATCTAAGAGTTTTGAAGGAAAAAAAATCTGTCATAAACATTGTAGCTTCAATCAGTACCGGTGATCAAGTCAGTAAATAAGTTGTTAGGTAAAAATTTCTCCAAATTTGCAACCATTTCGCCTCTTCGATAGCCTGGATCTTTCCAGTCTTCCTCACTCCTGGCCCCAACAACCTCTGCAAGAGGAGGCACCTGTTTCAGGTCTCCTAAGATCTCACCAGGGGTAGTGAACTTTACCAAGGTTACCTATTCCCACTTTATAAAAACTTTAGCCAAGTTGAAGACTTTTGCCGTGGGTCAAAAACACACAGCACAAGCTTTCTCAATTTCTCTCTCTCTCTCTCTCTGTCTCCCCTTTCCTCCCTCCCTCTCTTTCCTTCAGTGGTGGGTGGAGCGGGGGCGATAGGGCTAAGTTGAAGGCAGGAATGAAAAAGAGAACAATGGAAAAAACTTGAGGGGAAAGGGGATGGGGTTCCTTGATTCAAAAACTAGAAGCCCTAGGAAATTGTTGAGCTCCCCCCTTTTTTCCCCCAAACAATTCTGCTTATTCCACTATAGAAGATAACATTTGCTTTCATTTTGTCTTTCTGAATTAGTTCCTGTGTAGAAAATATTTATATTTTTGAGTCAGTTGCAGAAACTAAACAGTACTCCCACTCTGACCTCTGGGTCCTCACCAAGGAAAAGCCTATTCTGAGTGTTAGGATCAAAGATTTTGAAAAAGCTAATATAGTGCGTGTGTGGAGATGGTAGAGAGGAATTTAAAAAATGTATTCGGCAAACGTGAGAGAAAAACTATTTGTTAAACTAAAGATTGCGCGACGTTCCACTGGATAAACATCGCTGAATTTGAGAAGTTGATTTTAAGCCAAATCTTTTATATTTTGTGTCTTCATTAGGATAACAAATTGTGAGAACAAGAAAGCAGGGGTGGGCGGAGGGAAAGCCAGAGAAAGTTAATTTAATTGCCCCAGCATCATCCTCTCCCTCCAGCACCTTGAAAAGAGGAGAGCTCCAGGTTTGCAGTAAAGTAATGCGTGAAGGAGCGAGCGCAGTTCTGATCTTGAGTAGGGAACTGTGGAACCAGCTCTTGACTGACCACCTGGGTTTCCATGGCTTTCAGCTGAAGCTGAAGCTTGAGGGAAGCCCAGAGAGAGACTCCACCAGCTCTGAGAGGTGAGCGGTAGCTCCCGACACTTTCCAGGGGCAGAAACAATGCACCTGTCCCTTAGATAACCTTTTGCACCACTGAGTTTGCCGTGCTCACGATAAACATCAGGAATCTTCAGGCTGCTGAATAAATCAAGCGATTGCTTCTAACACATGTCCATTCCGCTCTCAGTAAGTAAACTTAACAGGCATGGACACACCGCAACTTTGCAGGATGAGCACACACATATTTTCATAGTTATTTGGCTTGGTGTGTTTGTATACATGTTTAGCGGGAGAGAGAGAAGACGACCTAGAATTATTTCACCTGTTATGAATCTGATTTGGGTAAGGGCAGGATGGAAAAAAAAAATTAAAGTTGTGATCTTTTTTTTCTCAAAGTGACCTATATTTCATTTTTCAAAACCATTTATGCTCATTTTGTGTTGACCAGGGGGGGAAAAAAACAACCTCTTCCAAAGTTATTATTTTTCTTTTCATGGACTTATAGGAATTTCAAAACAGAAATGACATTAACAACATCTTCCTTCCCATCTTTTATAAATGAGGAAACTTCTGCCCCTAACTGGCCCCGAAATCACACAATCACAAAGTGTCAATATCCAGACTGGATCTAACTATTCCCATCCACTAGGTCAATGTGGCCAAGACTTTTTTCTCTAAAAAAATCCATGGAACGGAGTTACAGCTAGGCAAATGTGCAGTGTTTTCTCTTGAACCACAAAAATAGATATTTATGTTTTTAAATGTTAGGGGCATCATACTTGAATCAGAGATGATGCAAACTTCATTTAAGGAAGTCATTTTGCATTTCTTCTCAAGAGAAAACAGCCAGAACAGAATATCAGATTGGAAATTCTATATCACACTGATTGAAAAGTGAGGGTGAATTCTTCTAACTCATCAAGACATGCACAAAAAGCCAAATGACTTTGTGTAAATTAAGTGCTCAAAGTTCAAATGAGGACTTTAACCTCTTTTCTTTCCTTCATTCTATTTCTTTCTTTTTATGCTGGCATTTCTTTGAAAGAGATGTACAACCACATTTCCATCTTAGGGTTCTGCTATGGAGTTTGCATAACAAACGTTTGGCAGCCCTCTCTCTTACACTCCATTAACAAGCTGTAACATATAGCTGCAGGTTGCTATAATCTCATTAATATTTTGGAAACTTGAATATTGAGTATTTCTGAGCGCTCATTCCCCATATGCCAGACCACTCCTGCCATGCTGACTGGTTCCTTTCTCTCCATTATTAGCAATTAGCTTCTACCTTCCAAAGTCAGATCCAAGTATCCAAGATACTAGCAAAGGAATCAACTATGTGTGCAAGTTAAGCATGCTTAATATCACCCAAACAAACAAAGAGGCAGCATTTCTTAAAGTAATGAAGATGGATAAATCGGGTTAGTCTTTTGCGACACTGCTTGGTGCTTTCTAGAGTTTTATGTACTTTAAACAGCTTGTTTTCTATCCTGTCTTTGCCTTCTATCCCACCACTTTTATTCGTGAGGGGTTTTGGCTCACCACCCTTCGGGAAACTTACTTGATTTCACAGAAAGCTGAAGAAAGATTATTCTTGGCAACTGGCAAGTTTAAACATGTTCCCTATGGGACATTGTTAACTGGGGGTCCAGCATAACAAGAAAAAAGGGGGGGGGGTTAAGTTTCCTTAATCTTAACTAATGCAGGACCAATGCTTTCATTAGGCCTTTCAATTGATTTTTAGAGCTTGAAACCTGAACGAAGCGAGCGGTCTTTTATCAAAGGATATCTGGGAATCATTTCTCTCCTCTGTCCCTTTGAGAGTTCAAGAAAGAGATGGTCAACTTCGTCATGGCAGTTTCAAACCCCAGTCAGAACTGGAAACGGAAAGCTGGCGACCTACTTGTCAACTGCAATCTAGACCTGTCCATGGCAATCTGGAAAACCCAGCAAGTACTGCTGGTGAGAGTTAAAGATGACCTCTCGCAGTTACATTATTTGCAATCGGTTTTGTGGGAAGGGGTGGGAGAGTTGAGGGAGAGGGGGACGGTGGGCCTGTAATAAAGGTGTAAGTTTCCTCGCTGTTTTTGACTCTACTCTCACCAGCCACCCTCACCCCTGGGCCGAGCAGAGAGTCCCAGACGCCCGCCTCTGAGGTTGCTTCCCTTCCGCTAGGCCTCTAGCAAGACTAGGCGGCCGGAGCGGAGAATGGGTTAAATCCTGGGACGCGGGGCAGAGGCAGGGGAGGAGAGTCGTCGGGGGAAGATAAAGAAAAGGACAGGAACCAAGAAGCGTGGGGGTGGTTTGCCGTAATGTGAGTGTTTCTTAATTAGAGAGCGGTTGACAATAGAGGGGCTGGCAGAGGCTCCTGGCCGCGGTGCGGAGCGTCTGGAGCGGGGCACGCGCTGTCAGCTGGTGAGCGCACTCTCCTTTCAGGCAGCTCCCCGGGGAGCTGCGCGGCCACATTTAACACCATCATCACCCCTCCCCGGCCTCCTCAACCTCGGCCTTCTCCCGGCCGACAGCCTTCTTCGGCCCCCCACCGGCAGAACTCACAGAAGCGAGCGACTCTCGCCGCCTTCCGTGGCGGGCCGGGGCCCCTCTCCTCCCCCAGCTTCGCCGCGGGAGCCGCCACTGCCCACTGCACCTCCCGGCAACCGGCCCGGCAAGAAAAGAAGCGGCGCAGAGGAAAAGCCAAGCTCTGCCAAGGGGAGGGGAAGCTGGAGGCGGCGGCGGCGGCAGAGCTGAG